GCAATTGGTTGATGATCCACTGTTACTCCATCATCAATTGAAAATCCTCTCAACGAATTAAGCATTTGGAGCAACATCGACACATCAAATTCCTTAGACCTGGATTTATCGCACAGCGCCAGAACTTCAAGCACAAATCTGTCGAGTTTGGGTGGAAATTGATCTTGACCCATGGTATGGTTGTGTGCGCCAGAGGATGAGGAAGAATGCCAATGTGGTCCGCGACGATGGGTACGCCGGACGGAGGAGGAATCGCCATTATTCGTGGGCTGTTCCATAACAGTCGCGACTGGGCAGTGTTCTGGTGAAAATTAGTGCAGCTGGAGGGATGGTTGGGACAAATTGTGACCTTGGTACTGAGCATGGGTCATCGTCCATCAATTGGTGTAGGTCCGACGTCATGGTTATGGTCGAAAGTTGTGATTCCGGTAGAATGAAACTTTTCAGGCAGCGATTTTTTAGTTGCGATTTCTTCCAATTCTGTGGGTGTTATTGCTTGCTGTTGGTTGTAATGGAAGAAGACATTAAGGGCTTTCCATCGGTACCTATGTCCGGTGGTTTGGGTTGTCGATCACTGCCGGAAAAGAGGCCATAAGTGGCTGCTAGAAAGGGCAAAAATCGCCCTTTAGGTAGAAAAAAAATTGCAGGCGAGGCTGTTTAGTTCTGGGAGATTTTGGAGTTTTGAGAATTTGTTTTAGTTTAGGGCGTAATTAATACAGGATTTATTTGATGTTTAATTAGTTTCGGGTATTAATCTAATTTGGTCAATTTTTAGAGCATTAGGCCTAATTTCCCCTTTAATATATTACCTAATTTTTAGATTTGATTTTTAAAAAGCAATCTTTAAATACCTGATTTTTTGTAATTTCCTCTTTATAATTACCCAACACTTCAATGAGATGGGCCATAACCCAGGCCCAATACCAAAATGATAAATCACATTCATGAAGTGCGACTTTGGTTGCCACTTGAACTAATAGAGTATTAGAGTGTCAGTTGCTCTAGATTCATCTCAAATCAAGGGTTGATGTTTTGAGTATAAATAAAACCCTTGGCTGAATTCGTAGATGAATTTTGTCAATTTTTCGTGTTTACTCTCTTCCAGAAAATTCCTTTGAAGCCTGTTCGTCTTCTCCTTTCATCTGAAACTTTTGGGTGAATGATATTTGTAATTCTTCTGTGAAAACAAGAGTCAGAGTTATTCTTTCGTGAGTGTGTGTGTGTAAGACATCCAATAAGGTATGGGTTCTTCTGGTCCATAGAAGCAACTCCATTTGCGCTTATGAGTGAGGGTCTGGGTTATTTTGGAGTCTCTGTGATGAAATAGATGGGTACAAATGACTGAGCTTACGGTAGTGGTGTCAACCGAGCCGAGCAGCTCATCGGCTCGCCCGCTCGGCTTGTACTGCTCATGCCCACGAGCCGCTTGGGTTTGTCAATAGACGAGCCCGAGCACGAGTCGAGC